ACATGCATTATGTGCTTGTCATGGATTCTTCTTCTTTCTCTTAAATTTAAATTTTAGTTAACATACAGTGAAAAATTGGTTTCTGTAGTACAATTCAGTGATTCAACACTTACATACAACACCCAGTGCCATCACAGATGCTCTCCTTAATACCCATCACCCATCTAGCCCAAACCCCACCCACCTCCCCTCCATCAGCGCTCAGTTTGTTTTTTATCATTAAGAGTCCGTTATGGTTTGTTTCCCTCCCTCCTTTTTTTCTTCTCCCCCTTCCCATATGTTCATCTGTTTTCTTTCTTAAATATGGATTATTCTTTTAATGTAAAATTTAAAACCTTATGAATGATGTTAGTTGGTGGAATGGAACTTTCACTGGATAATATTTTCTTTGGAATATTCTTCAAAAAGGTATGTGAAATACTTATTAACTTTTTTTTTAAGATTTCATTTATTTGTCAGAGAGAGAGAGAGCACAAACAGGGGGAGCTGCAGGCAGAGGGAGAAGCAGACTCCCCGCTGAGCAGAGCCTGATGTGGGACTTGATCCCAGGACCCTGGGATCGTGATCTGAGCCGAAAGCAGCTGCTTAACTGACTGAGCCACCCAAGCGCCCCCTTATTAACTTTTTGAGAAACTATGTTCTGTAGTACAAATAGGAACTAGCTTTGTGGTACCTGGAACTCTCCCCAAATGCAGTTAAGCCATATTTCACAAGACACATGGAAGTCTACACCAACAAAAATAAAGCAATTTCTACAAAGTACATGTTAGTGTGGAAACCAACCTCATTTTCCACAATATAGAGACATTTAATATAAATATACTTTAAAGCACTATTTTAAAGAAAAATAATGGGAAAAAATTTAGATAACTGATATTAACACTTGGGTAGGCTTTTTTTCCAACTTTAGAACTCTATTTCGTGACAATTATCCTAAGCATGTCTCTATTATTTATTTATTATTTATCATCTATTATTTTAGTTAAGGCAAACTACACAGAAAAATCCACAAATAGTCTTTAGTGTGACTAATCCTTTTGGTGGGAAACACACTTCTCTCATATATTACTGCTAATCAAAATTAGACACACAGGTTTTGTTGAAGTCAAGAGGAAATTCTACATAGTTTCAATGAATCAAATTAATAACCATCTAACTGCAATAGCACATGAAGGAAAAACAGAAAGAAGGGGTTTTGCTGGTGGCAAATAAAAACATCTTGTCTTTAGTAGTTAGAATTAAGACTATTTTGTGGTTCGCTGCAATTGAATAGTTGAAGTTGCATTAAAATATCCTAAGTTGTTTGCCAGTTATTGTGAACACTTGTCAATTAAAAAAAATGTCTATTCAAGGCAGCCATGATAGAAACTATAAATGCATCTTATTTCTATGATTGAAGTTTACAGAACCTTTTCAGAACTAAATGAAAACATCATGAGCAAAGAGTTCTTTGAAAATTGAGTATATTTATAATATTAGAATGCCTTGTTATAGGTTTTACCTGTAGGAAAATAATTCCATGTGGATAGGTGATTCATGACAAGTTATGTTGACAGCAGTGCATGTTGGGATAAACTGAGGAAGGTTGCTTCTCATCTTTTTTTTCAGTATTCCTATAGTGTTAGGACTCATGAAGTTATCTCACTTCTTTTTATTTGGGAAAAGAAAAATTGACTACCTAACCATTTGATCCAGTATATTTTTGAATCCCATGGTAGATTTTTTGGCATTATTAATATTCAAAGAAATGCAAATAAACAACAATGAGGCAATTTTAACGTCTTTTAAATTAGTATAAACATTAAAACTGATAATAGCTTAATGCTGGCAAATTCCCAATGAGGCTGATACATTAAATGTGAATTCATATACCTCTTGAAAACAATTTGGCAATATATGTCATAAGCCATAGAAAAGGTTATACTTTTTGACTCTGTAATTCTACTCTTGAGATTTTATCCTGAAGAAAGTCTTCAAAAGAAGAAAAAAGAGCTATGGGCATTAAGAAGCTTATTACAGCAAAGATTATAGTGAAAAATGGAGAATAAATTTAACAGTAAAAATGTGGAATAATTAAGTAAATCAAGATGTAGGCAGTTGATGTCATATTAGGGTGCTGTTGGGTAAAAATTATGATAATGGTTCAACATGGAAAAGTGTTTGTGATATCAGGCTAACTGGCAAAAAAGTAAAAAGCAAAATTTTGTGTGCTTGCACCTATAAACCCAAGTCCATATGGATATACACTGGAGAGAAAAGCTAAAAAGTGGAAATAACTGGCTTTAGACATGTAAATTATAGATTTTTTTCTTCTAAATTGTATTTTAATGTTTAAAATATATGTATTGCATTTTAGTGGCTAATTAGCTAATGGTTATTGATGATTTACTAAAATATTCATGAAAAACTGATTCCTTCCTGCAGTTCATAGTTTAAGCCCCATCCATTTCCTATTTAATAGTATGAATTCAAAGCACTATCTGAAACATATGCAGCATTTGATGGTTTCAGTGAATCTGCTGTGGAGATGAGTGTGATCTAGCACATCACTTAGGTTGTTTAGCTGATAAAATGTGTTCTACATATTTCATCTATTTATGTAAAAATAATTTACATAATTCCAAAACACATCTGTATTTGCTTACGACAGTAGCATATGTATAATCACAATGGTGGTTAAACTTTAGAGTTTAGGGCAAGGGTATATTATTTGATAAAGAAAAGATATACAATGAAAATAAAATATTTAAGGAATTAAATAAATACACACGCATGCACATGCATATCTAATTATATGTTATCCTTTTCTCAATGGATATTCAGGGTACTTAGACATTTTGGGAGCTTAGCAGTCATGTAGATCAGGGGTTGTAAATCCAGATCCCGTGGGGCCAGGCTAGGAGCATAAAAAGAGTTTGATCTGCAGTGTGTGACCTGACCAAAGAGGGCAGCAGTGGCTCAGGTGTTGCTGTTTGCTTTGGGAGTATAGGCAGAGGGTTCAAAAGAAGCCAGACAGATACCTAGAGTTTTATGTAAAAACTCTTTTTAGCATTGAAATTAATTCATATTAAGGAAATGAAAACACAACGAGTGAAACAAAATACACTTATTTGCGTGTCATGTCCAGCTTAGAGCAGCCAGTTTGTGGTTCTAGTATAAATCATTTTATTTTATTTTATTAATTTACTCTATTTTAGAGATAAAGCATGAAACTCAAAGAAGTAAAATGACTTGTTTAAGATTACAGCAAATTAGCCACAGATCTGCCTCTAGAAACAAGTTTCCTGAGCTTTGGCTCTTTGTTTCATTCTGGCAAAACTTTTTTTTTTTTTTTTTTTTTTTTTTGGTCTACTAAGGAAGAATTCTTTAAATACCTTTAAATGTCCTTATGGAAAGATATAAAAGTATTTATAACTACAGAATATGGGGAATATTTTATTTGTATAGAACAATTAATACTGTGCTTCTAAAATTACTTTTGCACAAATTTTCTCAGGCTCAGATTTCCCCTGAAAGTCAAACAAACAACAACCATTCCTACTTCTCCCACAGATAAACAGGTACAAACCACAAATGCGAAGCATTCTGCCAATATTAGAGTAAATGATTCCTCTTAAAAGGGGGCATCATAAAGAAAAGTAGGAACTTAGTCATCTTTCCCCAAGTGACTGGCTTTTGAGACATTATTTTAAATGGAACTGTTGTGCTGCCTAGCTCACGTATCAAATCTCCAAGAAGGAGGGCCTCAGAATATTGAGCTCTGGATCTGCTTACCATTTCAGAATAATGAATGACTTGTAATATATTTTTAAAATGTTTTATTTATTCATGAGAGTCAGAGAGAGAGAGAGACAGAGGCAGAGGGAGAAGCAGGCTCCCCGCCTAGCGGGGAGCCCAATGTGGGACTCGATCCCAGGACCCTGGGATCATGACCTGAGCCAAAGGCAGACGCTTAACCATCTGAGCCACCCAGGTGCCCCAAATGACTTGCAATATTATTTACATTTTCGCATTCCCTATGTATAGTAAGTCACATTCTCTAGTCCAAGACTGTACTTGCATTGTCATGTTTTTTCAGTCATTAACCCTAGCACCCCCACTTATGTAAAGCAACTCAATGGCATTCTATTTACAAGAATTTTTTTACATACACTAAACAATAGTTATTTTAAAAAATATTTTGGCAGAATGAACTACCTTATTCTGAGTCTCCCTTCTTTTGTCTTCGTTTTCAATCTCCTTCAATCTAGTCCATCTTCAGTGAGTCTTTCTAAGCTTTAAAAAAAAAATAAAACATTGCTTTGATTAGGTCATTCCTCTGCTCAGAAACTCTCAGGTTTGTCACCAGAGGTGAATGTCTAAACCGATGGTTCCCAAGCGAGGAGCACCCAGCATACTGCAGCCCATTCACAGAGATACCACAGGATTTTTGTATAAAAATTGAGGAAAGCGCAGTGGACATCTTCCAGGCACGGTCAAAACTACTATCTCAGGGTAGTTCACAGCTTTAGTATTTGATTATGCTACAGTTCCTTTTGATGATGACACCTTATCTTTTCATAGACGAGTTTTCAGTAATTGCTGTGACAAAAAGCATGAAATGAAATGGGACATGAAATGAGAGTGGTGGCATCCAGTCTGATATTTCGACTCTTGAGAAATAGTGTGGTGCCCATCAGGTAATATACATCCCATTGGCAAATAATTATGGTTGCTTATGAATGAAATAATATGCATTTCTTTTCTTTAAATGTATGTATATTTATTTTTCAAATGATTACTGACTTGTTAGGACATAAATACTTATTAAGTTGTTTGAGCCTAATTACTTAATAGATGGAAATCTTAAGAATTTCTTTTGGTCAACTACTAAGGCTGTGAAAAATAAAATAACATCTGGGGCATTAGGACCCAGTGGAAGTGCCTCATTCAGACTCTCGGTTAACTTCTCTCCCTGACGTAAACAAGCAGCCCTAGCTCATTCTCTACCCGCTCCCCCATTCCTCTCCCTCTTGCTCCTTTGCTCCCCCTTTCTCCTCCCCCTCCCTTTTCCCTCTCATTTTCTCTTTCCCCCTCTCTTCCCCCTCCCTTTCCCTCTCCCTCTTCTCTCTCTCAGCTCCCTTACATTAAAGTGAAAATGCTGCTATCAGTGACTTCCAGGCCTGGGATTTCGACTTTTGGCTATAACAAGAACAACAAGAAGCCCTATGTGTCATTGTCTCAGCAGATGGCACCACCTAGTCCAAGCAACAGTACCCCGAACAGCAGCAGTGGGAGCAATGGAAATGACCAGTTGAGCAAAACCAACCTCTATATCCGGGGATTGCAACCAGGCACTACTGACCAGGATCTTGTCAAATTGTGCCAGTCATATGGCAAGACTGTCTCCACTAAGGCCATCCTGGACAAGAGCATGAACAAATGCAAAGGCTCTGGCTTTGTGGACTTCGACAGTCCTTCAGCCGCACAGAAAGCTGTCACGGCACTGAAAGCCAGTGGTGTGCAGGCACAGATGGCAAAGCAACAGGAACAGGACCCCACAAATTTATACATATCAAACCTTCCACTCTCCATGGATGAGCAAGAACTAGAGGGGATGCTGAAGCCTTTTGGCCAGGTTATCTCCACTCGAATCCTCCGAGACACCAGTGGGACCAGCAGAGGTGTTGGCTTTGCAAGGATGGAGTCCACAGAGAAGTGTGAAGCCATCATCACCCACTTTAATGGAAAATATATTAAGACACCTGCTGGAGTACCAGCCCCATCTGATCCCTTGCTTTGCAAATTTGCTGATGGTGGTCCAAAGAAACGACAGAACCAAGGGAAATATATGCAAAATGGATGGGCCTGGCCAAGGAATGGAGATATGGGTGGTATGGCCTTGACCTATGACCCCACCACAGCTCTTCAGAATGGGTTTTACCCGGCTCCTTATAACATCATCCCCAACAGGATGCTTGCTCAGTCTGCACTCTCCCCGTACCTTCCATCTCCTGTGTCTTCCTATCAGAGAGTAACTCAGACATCTCCTCTACAAGTACCTAACCCGTCTTGGATGCACCACCAGTCATACCTCATGCAGCCTTCAGGTTCTGTTCTGCCGCCAGGGTTGGATCACCCCATTTCTCTCCAGCCTGCCTCCATGATGGGACCTCTTACCCAGCAACTGGGGCACCTCTCGCTCAGCAGCACGGGCACGTACGTGCCGGCGGCCGCCCGGGTGCCAGGAGCTTACATCGCCCCGTACACCCCTGTGCCTTCCGCCGGTGTTGCAGCCGAGTGGTCTGGAAGCGAACCCGCCTTGTCTCTGAGGTGTGCCTGGACACCTGAATTATTGGAGAGGCTGATGCTCCCGAACTCCAGAGGGCTGATGGGATACAGACGCAGCGTGGGCCCTGCTAAGGACTAACACTTGGGCAGCGCTTTCACAGGCCTGGGCCTGGAGAAAAGAAATCTCTGCGCTCCTGCCCTCTGCTTCTTCCTCCATTCCTGGGAGGGCCTGGAAGAACTGTCACTTTTTGTGTGTGCTGCATTCAAGGAGATCAAAAGAACTTTTTTTTCTTTCTTTTGCAAAGAAAGTTTTATATTTTGTTTTTAACTGCAATATACTCTTTCCATATCCCCCCCCCCAAAAAAAGAATTTCTTTTGGTCTAGAGGTGCCATGAAAAATTACTGAGATAGAAAGGGTGCCATGAATCTAGAAGACTTGGGAATCTCTGGCTAAACCTTTTAGCCTTGCTTTCAATATTTAAATATTGCCCCAATTCTTTTTAATTTATATTAGACCATTTCCTTATTTTAATTCTCTATTATCTCTAGAATGGTGCATCCATTATCTCTTGATCGTGGTATATCCAGTTAGTACTTTGCATACTTACTTCCCAACCTGCATTTTTGTCCATACACTTTCCACATATGGCAGTATAATTTGTTGAGATATTAATTTGTGTTTTGTTATCTCTTTTCCCCCTCCCTTGTCCAAACAGGTTCTCTGACATTTGTCGATCTGTGAATAAGGGATTGGGGGTTTCTTCTAATCAGAAAATAGAAGCTGTTGATAGACAAACTGGTTTCCTGATTTTATTTTATTCAGAAGGCCAAAATCCTCCAGAGATTTATGTTTGGGATTGGAGGAGAGCAAGAAGGGGACTGTGTTGAGGGTAGAGAGAAAAGAGAAAAGGAGAATGCATTGCTTCTCTAGGGCTACTGCAACAAATTAACACAGCCTTGGCGGGTTGAAACCACAGAAATTTATTCTACTACAGTTCTTGATACCAGAAGTCCAAACTTAATGTGTCAGCAGGGTTGGTTCCTTCAGGAGGCTCTGCAGGAGAATCTGATCCCATGCCTCTGTCTTAGCTTCTGGTGGTTGCTACAATCCTTGGTGTTCCTTGGCTTGTAGACACATCACTCCAGTCTTTGCTTCCATCATCCCATGGTATTCTTCTGTCTGTCTCTGTGTCCTCTCCTCTTCTTATAAAAGCGTTTGCATTGGATTTAGAATCCACCCTAAACCCAGGATGACTTCATCTTGAGATCTTTAACTAATTACATCTACAAGGACCCCATTTCCAGTAAAGTCACATTCCAAGGGTCTGGGTAGACGTGAATTTTGGGCGGACACTATTCAACCCCTTACAGAGAATCATACCAAGACTGAGAGTGGAAGAAGATTGGCAAGTAAAGAATATGGTGGATCTATACTTCCTCTTTGGCAGTGCCGGCATGGCTGGAGAGTGGGAAAGGGGAATGAAGCGGTTCCTATTTCACCAAGTTGGAGAAAACTTAGGTATCAGGGCTGTGGCATAAACCAAAATTCTCCTGCCCAAACTTGGCACAGAAACAGTAGTCCCCTGAACCAAGGGACCACATAAGCTTGGACCGTATTTGATTTGAATAAAGTAATTTCGCAATTTTTGCACATCCAAGTGCGTAGAACATAGTGTTATTACAACCACACTTATCCCGCCCATCCTCCAAGACTGAGCTCAGATTCCTTTTCTCTCTAACCAAACTCAGGCTAAAGTTATTCCTCTCTTCTTTGTAGTTATTGTCACTTTCTTTTGGTAATTAATTTTGTGTTGCCTCATATCCTTTCTCGTTTCTGAAAGTATTTGCATTTTAAGCAGGTGAAACTATTTGTCATCTCACAACTTTATCTTGTTTCCCTGCTATAGTGGATCTTAGCTCCTTTAAAGAAGGGACTCTGTTTCATAAATCTTGGGAGCCATCACAGTTCTTATCATCAGACACTCAATGCATAGGGACTTAATTTTATTTATTGCTTGACCCTTTTGTTCCTGGTATTCATACCTCTCCCTGTTTATTCCTTAATATACTTTAAATATATATTTAAAAGCTTGGTAGTCTCTGGTATTTTTCCAATGCAAACAAATTATTTGCGTTTTTATAAAAGCATGTTCAGCTGGCAATATTCCTTATGATTTCAACCAACTCATCCCCTGATAAATGACAAGTGAAAAAAGTAGGTTTTGTTTTCTAAGTCCCTTGGCATTTCAGGTGCACCGGGATTGCTTCCTTTTTTTGAGCAGCACTGCTAGCCAACCTTGGCAGTTTCTGAATTTACAATCTAGTTTGCTTTATCAGCAGTATATGGCAGTGAGCTCTAAGTGAGAAATAAATTACAATCTGATATACAAACAAATCCTCTGGGGCTCGGTAGGTGTTCCTATGGGGATGCTCTGCTTTACTGATTTCTTTTCCTTGTTGTGTAACTTATATTGGAACTGGAAATAATTCAAAACTTAGGGAAAATTAATTTCAAAATATTTCAGTCATTTTCAGAGAAAACTCAATTAGTCTTCCACATCTAAGACAAAAGAGCATGTTCATTTTCTTCTGTTTGACTGGAAACAGCGACAGACTTAACACAAAGGGAGAACTCCTGATATCAGTGAAACTTTTCTTCAGTTCCAAAACATTCTATGCCCAGAGTGGATTTGAATAGCTCCCAGGAAATCTATAAGTCATGTTCTATAGGCAGACCATCAAATTTCAGATCTGGCATTATCTATGACTTGACGTGTATATTTCTTATTTAAACCTGTCGAGAAACTTAAGAGTTGGTAATATCCTTTTTAGTTACCCAATTGTGTTTATTTAACTGCACTTACTCTAAATGACTATTATTAGAGTATTTTTAATCAACTTATAAAGAAAATAAATATCTTAGATTTTCTTACCAATTTGCATTCTTTTGTTATGTTTTATTTTGTTTCAGGTTCTTATTTAAATTGTAGTTGGTTAACATGTAGTGTAATATTGATTTTAGGAGTAGAATTTAGTGATCCATCACTTACATACAACACCTAGTGCTCATCACAACAGATGCTCTCCTTACCCATACCCATTTAGCCCATCTCCCCACCAACCTCCCTTCCAGCAACCCTCAGTTTGGTGTCTGTAGTTAAGAAGCTCTTATGGTTTACCACCCTCTCTCTCTCTTTTTTTCTCCCCTTCCCCTATGTTCATCTGTTTTGTTTCTTAAATTCCACATCGGAATGAAATCATATGGTGTTTGTCTTTTTCTGACTGACTTATTTCGCTTACACTCTAGTTCCATCCATGTTGTTACAAGTGGTAAGATTTCATTCTTTTTGATGGCTGAGTAATATTGCACTATATGTATTGGTGTGTAACATATCATATTGGAACTGGAATACCATATGTGATAATATATGTGTGTGTGTGTGTGTGTGTGTGTATCACCAGCATTTTTCACAGAGCTGGAAAAATCAACCCTAAAACTTGTATGGAACAACAAAAGACCCTGAATAGCCAAAGCAATCCTGAAAAAGAAAATCAAAGCTGGAGGCATCACAATTCTGGACTTTAAGTTATATTACAAAGCTGTAGTCATGAAGACAGTATGGTACTGGCACAAAAACAGACACATAGATCAATGGAAGAGAATAGAAAACCCAGAAATGGACCCACAACTCTATGGTCAACTAATCTTTGACAAAGCAGGAAAGAATGTCCAATGGAAAAAAGACAGTCTCTTCAACAAATGGTGTTGGGAAAATTGGATAGCAACATGCAAAAGAATGAAACTGGACCACTTTCTTACCCTATACACAAAAATAAATTTAAAATGGATGAAAGACCTAAATGTGAGAGAGGAATCCATCAAAATCCTAGAGGAGAACACAGGCAGCAACCTCTTTGCCAAATTATACATTCTTAATTGCTGCAAAAAGGAATAAGTATTTCCCCCTCCTAAGCATAATATAAAAAGTCATTTCTCCCTTAAATTGGGAAAGTGAATCTATTTCTGTACAATTTACTGATTTCTTTTTTTTTTTTAAATGTAACAACCTCCCTTAATTTCTGCTCCTGGTAGTGCAATCTATACAGCTCAATCTTTTAGCCTCTAACTCTAGGATCAGCAGTGCTTCAGTTTTGAATTTGTGACCAACAATGAATATTTGGTAATTTTACATGAAACTTATTTTCTTTTTAGAAGTTGGAAAATCCAAAATTGTATGGTCCAGATTCCCCCAAAACATCAATCTGACAGAAATTATCCCTTTAGGTGGTTTCTGAGCTACATTATGTATTTAGTCCAGGACTCCAGGGTCCTTTCTGCATTGGTCTACAGAAGGTAAGAAGACCTGTCTTCTTTTTTTTTTTTTTTAAAGATTTTATTTATTTATTTGACAGAGAGAGACACAGTGAGAGAGGGAACACAAGCAGGGGGAGTGGGAGAGGGAGAAGCAAGCTTCCCGTGGAGCAGGGAGCCCGATGCGGGGCTTGATCCCAGGGCCCTAGGATCATGACCTGAGGCCGAAGGCAGACGCTTAATGACTGAGCCACCCAGGCGCCCTGTAGACCTGTCTTGTTTCTAAGAACAGCTATGCCTTGAGGACTCTGGTTTTAGTAAATGGTTTCTGTCTTAGAAATCTTAATTATGTCTGGTTAATTAGTTTAGTCCTTTAGTTTGTTTGTATTCCCATAGAACTCCATTTTGGCTGCTGAGCTCACTATGTCCACTTGAGGCTCTCTGATGCCCTGTGTGGTCTCTGTATATGGCCTTTTTTAGACTTCCCTACCCCCACCCCAGCTGCACTCAGCCTCATAATGACTGTTTTAGAATAGTTTTGATTTTGTGACCATAACTTCATTCTGGAACTCAGTTAAACTTACAGAAGGAACGAGGGAAATAGAACCCAAAGAAAGGCAACAAGTGAGGGCACAGAGTAGTAGGCTCTGAGAGCAGATTCTCCACATTGATAAAGGTCTGATGGGTGTGGAGGAGACCCACATTAGAACCAGGGCGATCTTGTCAGTGTTGGCATTGCCGGTTTCCCGTGGCTTCGACAGCTTCCATGGGGCCATCTCTCACTTGCCTAAAGACTCCATATTTTCCATCCAGCTAGCCAGAAGGACCGATGAAACTCTAAAACCATTTACATTGGGTCCAAACATTTGCCTTAGACAAGGTACTAGGACTGGTGTGCTTCCAAAAGGAGCTCTCAGCAGCATCTTTCTCCAGGCAGATGGCTTTCCATCAGTGTCATCGTTGCTCGCGGATGAAAACAGAGTAGTCATTCTGTGAATATAGAAGTCCTGTCACACAGCCCTTTCCCTCTGATT